TTTTCCACCGGCAAGTCAGGAAAAATAATTACATCATAGAACACCCTCACGCTTCCTTCCGTCTGGCCGAAGGAACCCTGATCAGCATTGATTACTCCAACGTCGTGGAGGATTGACTGTCAGCTTGCCTTGCTTCCATCTTTCCTCTCAGGACTACTAAAGGAGCCTGTCAGATACAACATGAATAGCAAGAAAGGACTGAGAAGCTGTGGCTGCTGCCAACTCAGTCTAAACCCTAARCCCCGCTGCTGATCCTCATGAAATKTCTAACATTCTAGACCCTGTTTGTCTTGTTTCTGTCAAAACAAAAACCTCAACCCTGACCCCTAAACCCTAGGCACGATTGATCTTTTGCATCTGATCCATGAGAGATAACAGGCTGTTGCCTGTTGTGCGTAAGTCTTGGATGCTCTTCTGGGCCCATATTGGAGTACCTCCTTCAGCATGAAGTCGACCCCTGAGATCTTCTGCGATATGTTTCATGTGAAACATCGGCTGCAGTCTGTCCCGCGTGTATCTTGGATGCTCTTCTAGGCCCGAATTGGAGTTGGCTCTTCTTGAACCTGGGTACTCTGCTGAGAAACAGATTTGACCGAATTATGCCACTCTTTCCATCTTAAAACCTGCCCACTTAGCCATGCCACTTTTTCCCCTACCAACCACACCCGTTTGAATTTGGCCAAAGTCACCTGTTCTGACTCTGGATTGTTCTGCACCCACAGTTTGACCTTCCTCCAATGATAGTGGATTTCTGCTTCAATCATCTCTTTAGTCGCTGCCCATACTTTCTCCCGCGGGTTCTTCGTGCTGTCCAGAGTTCTGCTGCATCTCTCTTTCCATATGGCCCATAGCGTGACCTTGCGTATCAACCCGAACCAGACTTTCTCTGGCTTACCAAAATAAGAGGGTAAATTAGTCCAGAGGAGCAGTTGGAGGGGGTGTTCCGGGAGGGGAGATGAGAAAAGACTGTCCCATAGGGCTGCTGCTCTTGCCCAATAATCTGTGGCTTCTTTGCAGTTAATTAGGCAGTGTATCAAATCTTCCTGTTCCTGCTCTGAGCAGACTGTGCAGACACCCGAGCTGGTTGGATCGTTCTTTTTCCTTCTCACATGTAGCCACTGGTTGACAGGTAGTGCCACGTATGTTATGAGCCACTGCATGCTTCTGATTTTTATGGGTCTTATCGTTTTATATTTCTTCCATGGAATTTTTGCTATCTGGTCTGCCTCAGAACCAATTAACTTGCACCATCTTCCTTTGATTATTGCGTCTGGGTCCTTTGTTTTTAACAACATTTTATACCCTAGTTTAACTGTATAATCAGATATTGGGATTGATGGTTTCGTAGTTCTGTTTTGGTCAGAGGGCCAAGCCCATTCTGAGGGATCGAACTTGAGGTCTTGAATTGCTCTCCCTATTTGAAATATCTGTTTTGGCCAGAGTCCTAATGTTCTTATTTTACGGAGTGTGAACACATTCAGAACTTCTCTTTCGGGATTGATATTCTGGATGTACGGTTCGTCTGGCTTAGTCTTCAATATCGGAAGGATGTGAATACGTCTCTTGGATTTGAGCCAGATATTCGATGGGAGAATTGGTAGGCCCTCTCAGGGGAGGTGTCCTGGATTGGGATTCCCCACTCATCCGCTTTCCACGTGAATTCCTCCTTTAGCAGCTCAACCCAGCCCCCCGGGATGCTTTGTATAACCTTTTGCAGATTTTCATCCCTGTGGTGGCAGCCTTTCAGTCGGGCTTTGAGCTCATTTTCGTCCAGCCAGTTCTTCCTTTCGTCGTTCCATATGTCCCCTACTCGCCAGATCCTGTGTGTGATCAATGATAGCCATCTTTTGCCTCTGTGGGAGAGTCCATGGGTGGTCCCCCTCGTCTCTGATCCAGGGGTTCCCAAAGAGAGGTTGCCTGAGCACTTCTTCTTTGGACCTGGGTTTGTTTCGTTTCTTGGGCATGATCTTTCTCCATATGCATATAAGGGCTGTCCAATAGGGGGGAGGTACCTGGTTAGGAGTTGGGGGGGCGCGAGTTCTGAGTCTTCTCCTCCCTGATCTTGGATTCCAGTCTTTATTCATGATCCAGAACAGTCCGGACATGTTAGTGGGGGACTCCGTTGGAGCCAGATTCCTGATGTTGTCTTGTGCTAGTTTGTTCCACGGCAGTGAGTGTTTAGTCAGTAGCCTAATGACCCACTTAATTTGCAAGGCTTTCGTTTCTTGTTTGGGGTCAATAATGCCTAGTCCCCCTTCTGTTGGTTTCCTTGTGATATAGTGCCAAGCTATCTTTGGAATGTAGTTTTCTTTGTTATTGTTCCCTGACCATAAGTAGGCTCTGGCTTTCTTGTTCAGATCTTTGATAGTCTGGTCTGGTATAGTCCGAATTGAAGCTATGTACCACATCATTGAGAATATGGAAGTGTTAATGGTAAGTGCCCTACCCAGTAGTGACGTAAATGATTGACTCCACTTCCCCATTTTGTTGATTTGGCCGGCTAGGAGATTTTGTGTCATCTGGGGGGCGGGGCCGTCCTTTGTCACTTGGATCCCCATGTATCTCGTAGGTATCTCCGGTTTCTCCCAGGACATCTGGTTCTTCGGTCCTTGAAGTAGTGGGACGGGTTCGTCAGATAACCACCATCCTATCGTCTTTACCCAGTTTGTCTTCATTTCTGATGCCAGTCTGAATGCTTCCATTGCTCTGACTAAGGCTGCCATTGACGAGTTGGAGGCTCGTATCAACACCGTTAAATCATCTGCGAACATGATTACTATACGAAATACGACGTGGTGTGAGAAACCCACATTCATTTCAGGCAATCTTTGGATAGATGGGTCTTTACGGAGGAAAGAAGCTATGGCTTCCATAACGAATAGAAAAATAGGCGGTGCTAACGGATCGCCCTGTCTTACTGACCTAGAGATTGGGTAGCCTTCGGACAACAAACCATTGATTGGAACGCGTCCGGAGGCGTTGTTGTATAGGACTCGGACCCATTTTCTGAAGTTAGGACCTACCCCCATTTTTTCCATACTCGCTTCGAGGAAGTCCCAATTTACCTGATCGTAGGCCTTTTCAAAATCGAAGAAAAGAATCGTTGTGCTGATTTTTTTCTCCATCACTTTCTTGGATGCCTCGTTGAGGGTCATTACATTGTCTAGGATGTACCTGCCTGGTATAAAACCCGACTAGTCTATGTGGAAGCATTTGTCTGTTACGTCCAATATGCGGAAGGCTAGGGCCTTGGCAAGAATTTTATAGGGAAGTGTGAGTAGGGATATTGGTCTGTAATTTTTTATGTGCTCTCGGTCACCCTTCTTGTAAAGAAGTGTAACCACGCTGGTACTGAGGAATTCGCCCATACCCTCTTTCTCCCAACTGTCGTTGTAGAATTCCATAAGGTTCGAACCCATTAGGGGCCAAAATTTCTCCCAAAATTCCTTTGTCAGTCCGTCGATGCCTGGGGTCTTATTGTTGTTCATGTTCTGGACCGCGAACTGTAGCTCTTCTATGGATAACGGTCTATCCAGTTTGTTAGCTTGATCATCAGATATTGTCCTGTCTAGGTATTGTAACATTTTTGACCTGGCCGCTCGGGTATTGGAGGGGGTGATTGTTGGTGTTTTAGCTCGATACAGTTCGTTATAAAAGTTCTTTGTGATCTCTAGCATCCCTTCACTATCTGTGCGAGTTGCCTGTTGGCCTGTCAGCTCTTTGAGACCCTCTATTGAGCTGGATCTGTTGTTTGCCTTTATTCTTGAAAAGGAGTGTTTGGACATTTGTTCGTTTAATTCCAGGTCGGTCATTCTGGCTCTAATCTGGAGTCCTCTCAGTTCCCACTGACGCCATACAGCCAGTTATTCTCTTGTCCTTTCTAGTACTTCTGTGTACACTGGAGAGGACGGGTTGGTGGCCAAGTTTTTTTCCGCTACTCTGAGGGCCGTTTCCAGCATCAATTTCCTCCGTTTCCTATCGTTGGCCATTTTCCTTGATATTATAGCTGCTGTTTCAGCAAGCTTGAGGTAGCTTTTCTGGAACCAGTCCCATCTGTCCTGACCTGTGACAAAGCTTCCTCTGAGATTGTGCTAGCTCGTCGACATCCCTTCTTGGAATTCTTGACTTAGTAGGAGAGAGTTATTCAGTTTGTGGAAATTGCGTCCCTTTTGGATATATTGGTCGAAACTGATGATCAGCTCAATAGGTTTATGGTCCAGGCCTGGGTACGGCGCCAGCACCAATATTTCCGCTTCCTTGACTGTCCCCATGAGGTGGTCGGAGATGAGGAAGTAATCTATGCGAGAGAATGATGTGTGGTGGGCATGATTTTTCTTAACAAGGGAGAAGGCTTTGGTAGTAGGGTGCAGGGTGCGAAAGGGGTCTACCAGGTTGTGGTCTAAGATGAGTTTTTGGACGGGAGCTGCTTCTTGAGAGGGTTGTGGTGAGGTTGCTCTGGATATACGATCGTTGACCGGGTCCAAAGTGGCATTCCAGTCTCCCCCAATTAGGCACGCTTGTAAGGGAGGAATTAGGTGACCTATGGAGTCAATGAAAGTAGATCTGTCGTTGCGGTCGTTGGGAGCGTAGACGCTGATCACTAGTTCTTCTTCTTTCCATCTTAGGTCCATAAAGCACCACCTGCCCTCGATTTCATCAGATCCTGTGTTGATTACCGTCCCCGCACAGTAGAACTTGGAGTTCTTTGGGATTAGTATTGCAGTTCCTTTCCTACTAGAATTATTGTCTGAGGACCAAACCGCATCCTTGATCCCTCCCACCTTTCTCATAAAAAAGTTCTGTATTTTTTGGTGATCGTTGTGGTTCGTTAGATGAGTCTCTTGAAGCATTATAATGTCCGCCAACTTGTTGTTTTCCTGTTTGAGGCCTTTAATTATGTCATTTAGTTTGTTTTCCTTGCTTAGGATGTTTCCTAACCCATTCACATTCCAACTGCGTATGGTGATGCCTTGAGTCTTCCAATTGGGTTTGGTGGCCTGTTGATTTGCTTTATTCCTAAACCCCTCCATACTGGGGACCTATAATTTTAGGGGCAGACAAATTGTCGTTCAGGAGGCACCTGGATCCGTGGAGATTGCGGTGTTCGGACCTGTCACGGGTGGGTCCACTTTGGTTTTCACCCCCAGATCATTGATCATGTATTCTCCTATGCTGCCACTGTCATGGTTTCCCGGGGAGCCCAGGGGGTCCTGGTCTGTGCGCTCATCACGAGCCCAGTCCTCCATGTCCTCCTCCTGGAAGTCATCCCTGTAGAAGCAGTCCAGATCCATGGCATAAGCTCTGGTTTCCAGGTCTGCCTCCCCGTTCAGTGTGCCAGCTCTGAGGATGTCAGCCAGCAAGGCTGCTGGCAGCTCCGCCGGGATTTCGAGACCTGACAATACACTGTACGGAATTGCAGTCACTGTGTCCCATGATCTCCACATCATGCCTCTTTTCAGTCTTGTTCTCTCAGGCATCTTGGCGATCAGGGGGGTGAAAGAGCTTTGTCTGGAGTCCGCCGATCCTCATGCAGCGCTCCCGTCTCTTGCCCCCCAGAGAATTTCGTTGAGCCTTCGGTTTGATACACACCCAACGGATAAGTGTCAGTAATTTTTTCACGGATTACCGACACCAAATTCTGACCCTCTTCAAATAAGGGGGTTGCGAAGGAGACTTTTGTGGCGACTTGCCATTCACCGGTTCCCTCTACATACCGAGCGGCTAACAGTGGCCGCAGTCCCATCATAGTAAGTCTGGCCGATCTGGCTTGTTGAAGTACATGTGGGGCTTTACCCTCTGCTATGTGTTGCGGGGATGTGAATTCCGGTTGGTATGCAGCGTTGAGCTTCTTCAACTTTTTTGCTTGGGCCTCAATGAATGCGAGATCCAACTCAAGGTCAGCGCGTGCTGTTTTCTTAGCAGTTTCTGTCTGACCATGGTTGCCTGCTTCTTCTGTACTTTTGCAGCTTTCCATTTCTTCGGACGCAGATCCTGGAAAGGATCGTCAAAATCCTTGTTGTTCTCTTTTGCATCCATCTGACCCTGTTCTCTGACTCTTTTCTTCTCTGCGTACCTGAATGCAGCGTACTCTGAGAATTCTTCTTCTTTTTCCAGCAACTCGTATTTGTTGGAAGATGATTGGATCCCAGCGATTGTGCCCTGTTTCAGATTCCTCTCTGTGTTTTAGGCTCGCTGTTCGGATGATGAAGATGTGTTCCCTCTCCCTCTTTGCCTTTTCAATGTACTCACGGAGCCATTGAAGAGACCTGTTGGGAGGGGAAGTCTGGTCGCTGATGGGGGCAGAGCCACTTGAACTTTTGTTGTCATCACTGTCCTCTTCGTCCATGGCGAAGTCCGAGTCTTTAGCAGGCTTCTCCGTTACACTGTTTTGTGGGCTTGCATCTACACGTTCAGCGCCTTCAGCAGTGTTAGCCCTCCTCCTCTTTGAATCAGCCTGTCCTCTCTCTCTGATCGGGCTGTTGTCTAAGGTTCTCTTGTTTTCACACTGTAGGTTAGCCGTTTTTTGCCCGTTTTCATTTTTGCTTTTTTTCTCTTTGAGCTCAATTATTTTCTGAGTCCGCTTTTGAAATTTTTCAGGTTCCTTGCTGTACTCCTGTTCGGCCTGTTCCCTTACTGTCTCTAGGTCCCAGAGCAGATCCTCCCTTGCTTTCTCCTCCCTAATGACACGGGAGTCATTCAGGGGTATCGCATTGATCTTCGTGGGATTACCTGCTTCTTTCCCTGTTGCCTTTTTTTGCCACCTGCTGTCAGCCGGGGGAAAAATGTCTGGCTCCTTGGTTGTGGCCTCCTTGTCTGAGTAATGCCATACCCAATCAAGTTCCTCTAGATTTTCGTCGAACACCCACCCATCATAGGTAGAATCCACTATGAACCACGTGCCAGGGGCATCCTCCACCTCCACCAACATGTTGGGTAGGAGCTTCCTTTCTTTCTGATTCTTTGGAAATTTGGGGCAGTGTAGGTCAGCGCCGAGGTGGCCACGTTCTCTGCATCTGAAGCAGAGTGGCGAGGTCTTCGTAGAGATTGGATGGACAGTTTTCTATCCTGAATTGCGAATTTCCATTCCATCGGGAAAACCGGTGGATCATCGGTTTTCACCTCCAGGATTGTTGTCATCGTGCCACAGTGGGGAGCCAGAAACTCCGGCGTTGGCAAAATCCATTTAAGGATTTTGTTCGCCGGGTACTGTTTCTCCAATCTGTCGACCAGCAGTCCATGAAACCCTGGCTGGATTCTATCAAACTGCACCCATAAATTCTCCTGCATCAGCGTTTGTTTGTATGAGACTATGTAGGTAGGATTTGGCCGTTGTTTCGTTTGCTTTTTCCAAGCTGAGATTGTGCAGACCGAGCCATTGCAATTCCTTGATTTCATTTCAGACGCTATCAGCGCGTGCTTCTCATGGTTGAACACCACCATGATCGAATTGCGACCCAGACTTTGTAGCGAGAAAGCATCGTTGATATTTTTCATTTTTTCTTCTTTCTTAATTGTTGCAATCACCCATTTTCTTTTTTCCGCTGGCATAAGCTCAGCTCCGCTTCTTGCAAAGCTAAACATCACACCATGTTTCTCGTGAAATTCGTCAAGTTCAACCACTCTTACTTCAGGGTACTTCCAGACAACAATTTCTTCTTCCTTGCTTTGTGTGTTGGGCAGTGTTTCTTTCACCTATATGCCTTCGACCTTGGTTTTCTCAATGTCTCTTGTCGCCCGTGGAGAAGGATGTTGTACTCTTGGCCTCGAACAGGGAGGGTTCTTACTGAAGTCGTCCTTTCCTCTTCAGGGCCGTGCCGAATAAGTTTTTGCTAGCTCTTGTACTTGTTTCCCAGTGGGCCCCTCGTCTTTTTGTCGTGAAGTGTAGTCCTCCCGTTTTTTCCGTAATTGGAAAAAGGCGAAACGACGCGGAGTCGAGAAAACTCGGCCATGGAATCTTCAGACTTGGAAAGTGCCCGAATCTTGAAACTGCGCCTGCTTCTCTCGGTCCTCTGCTTCCTCTTGGGTCTCTCCTGTGATGCTGCGAGATCCTCCTTAGATGATCGGCCAGATAGTGCTACTATCCGTCCTCTACGAGTAGCTGCTCGTAGCGAACTCCGATCTCACGGCTAGATAGTGTTACTGTCCGTCCTCTTCGAGTAGATGCTCGTAATGACTCTGATCTTGAAACTCGGGTGCATCTCATGGAAAACGGACGGCTAGATTGTAGCCTCTTGAGCGTTCGGACATCTGTCACCCTCTCACGGGATGAATCTCCCCAGGATGAGCGGTGAGATACCTCGATGCTATAAATCAGTGCCTAGGCGCTGTATCGCGCGGCGCCCCCGATGGCTCTGCCCCTAGCGCTAGCGCGCGATGGGCGAGACACGCGACGGTGCGGCGCTCGGCGGCGCGGCAGCGCGAGAATTAGCGCATCACCCTAGCGCTAACCTGTGGCGCATTCGAGTCCCTGAGAATTCGCCACGTAGGCAATTACACTAACACTGATCAGTTTGAAAATAAGCTAATTCAATAATAACACCTAGGAAATGGGGATCTGATTATGAAAGAACACTAAGCAGATAACCATCATGGTGATGGAGGTTGACCAATGCTGAAGATGATTAATGCTGCTTTGTCTTCCTCTTTCCTCCTCGTTTCTTCCCCCTCCTTTCTCCCCTCTTCCCTCCTTTTTGCCACCGCTGATTTGAATCACCTGATAACAGGCAGTACCAATCAGCCCTAACAAGAAAGAACCCCCCCATTGCCATTAATCCCTCGAGGCAACCAGTTCCCCCTAAAGGTATACCTCAAGCCAACGCCTGCCCAATCTGCCATCGCCGGGAGATGATGTGACCCTGTCGTATGACGTGACCCTGTCGTCATTCCCAGCCCCAGACTAGTGCAGTCCCCCTCATCTGCCTTTACCCCTACAAGGCGAGCACCTCCCTCCTTGTGCTGCCTCTGTGGAGAAGAGCTCTCCCCACTTAACCTCCAACCTTTTGAAACCATGACTTACCTTGGAAGAGCAAAACAACACCCTAGATGAAGAAGATGAGGATGATGATTAACAAGACTGGTGATGACTGGTGATGACGTGATGATGATGATAATATTGATAATGATGATGCCTCCCCAGTCCACTCCACCTTTTTCCACCTAACTCACCTCCTCTCCCCTTACTGCCCCCGCTGATTAGAATCCCTCTGATGAAGGGCAGTTGTCATCAGCCCCAGCAGAGTTCCTCCCTCTACCCTACTACCCTCGTGGCTACCTGTTCCCCCCGCAGGTATTCCTCGAGCTATCTCAGTCCCACTCTGCCACCGCTAGTAGACGATGTTCCCCCTTCCATCTCTCCCAGCCCCAGAGTGTAACAGTCCCTCTTGTTTGTCCTTACTCCCTAAAGGCAAACACCTCCCACCGCGTGTTCCCCCCGCGGAAAAGAGTTCTCCCTACTCAATCCATCCTACCGTCTATGACATAAGCTTCTCAGAAGGAATCTTACAACATCAATACTTAGTATGAGATGATTATAATGATGATGATGATGATGATAGTAATTAGTTGGGAATAAGAAGGTGGGAAGTGAGTGGCGAGAAGCGCCTTGGAAATAATTGTATTTACAGGCCTTTTAAAAAAAAACGTGATGATGATTGCTGTGCACTGGCACTGATGAGTAATTAGTTACTTTTGTACTTGTAATTAGAATGTGGAGAGTAGGAGTGCCCTCACTCTACTCTCTAGTTAGTAATTAGTAATTAGAAGAATGAAAGGTGGAAACCCTCTATCGTGGAGAACCACCCAGTATCCATGTGGCAGCCAGGTGTTGAAGAACGTGAAGACTGCAGATGATGTGTCGACGATTGACACTTGGCGAAAAAAACAGAAGTACTCTGAGTAAGGCGACGACGAAGATGAGCAACAAGATGATAATCTCCAGCCATAAAAGACGCAATCAATGAAGATAACCTGCACAATACAGAGGAGAAACAAACAGAAAAAATTACCAGAGAGTAGCTTCATTGATGATGACCTCCAGCTTGATGACCTCCCTTATTGTCTGATGATGACCTGATGATGACCTCCCAGCAGCGTTGTGATGATTCTTCAGGTGTGACCAGCGTTCTCCACACTTTGGACTCCACGGGGCTCACTCCACTTTCTTCCACCGACATCGGCTTAAGCCAACTCGCATGAGCCCTCCCGCCTTTTATAAGGTCTTGGCTATGGAGTACTTCATGTGGAAAGCACAGGAAGATAGTTCAAACAGTAGCCTGTTTAAACAGTAGCCGCGACCACCATTTTCCCCAATCCTCTGTGCTTCAGGCCAAATGCCACGTCAACCTGCGACGTGGCATTGGCCAAGTGCCTCTGGATACCTCGCGAGTGTCAATGGCAATCACCAATCTAATCTACCCCATCACAGCACCCGCGCCCGGCGACAATCAGCGCCACGCCATGTGTAAAACAGTGTCCCACCTGTCACCCAGAGCCAGCGCCTCGCCACCCCGACGTTGCTAGTGCCACACTTCCCAGGATCTGCCAGCGCCTGGCTCCCTGCCACCGCCTCGCCCCTGGCGTGAAGCCAGCGCCTCGCAGCCTGCGAGTAGTCTGCGCCTTGCAACCTCCGACCAGCCAGCGCCTCGCTTGTCAGCAACCTGCGCGACACCACTCGCACACCAACCTGCGCGACACTACTCGCACACCAACCTGCCCGACACCACTTGCACACCACCAGCACCTCGCCGCCCGCCCGCCAACCATGGCGCTCGCCCTAACGCAGGGTCCTGGTCTCATCCTACTGCAGAAGCATCTCTCAGAAAATTCATCATAATGTGCTGATTTATTTTATTTTATTTTTTTGAAAAGCCTTGGCTTTCTACTAGAGGGGGTGATACGAGCAGCCCCATCATAATTTGCTGACTGCAGAGCCATTTCTTTAATTTACATATGTAGAGTTTTCCATCTGGTGTGGGTGAGTGATAGTCTACTTTGATTTTGGTTAAGGTAGATTATCATTTACAGTGTAATCAGTGAGGGGATTCTGCAGACTGTTGAGGGTTCAGCCTCCTGATGAGTCGGT